CCCTCATAACACACTGTATGACGTATGCGAATGGTTAGCGCGTCTGTCATTGATTTAACTGGCGTGGTGTCGATTCCCCGGTTCCGGTTGTACGTGGCAAGGAGTAGGTTCGCCTGTCCAGCCTCGTGGGTTTTCTTCGGGTCCCCCGGTTTCCTCCCACTGCTAAAGACCCCTACGCGCAAGCGAATTATTGAAATAAAATTGAACCATATGTTAGTCCCGAACTGACCTAGTTTGTGTAGAGTGGACGTTAACACCCCCCTCTCCCCCCTCCCGTCCTCATTAGCCCAGGTTAGGAGTAGAACAGTAGGACGTTAAACCCCATTTCATTTCATTTCATTTCTCTTTCTCTCTCTCTCTCTCTCTCTCTCTCTCTCTCTCTTTATTAACATGTCAAGACCATAATCAACTCTAGATGCCATCGGATACTCGAGATTTGAACTAGATTAGTACGGTACAACCATTTAATGATTCAATTAAAATATGGGGAAGCGAGGCTAAGCCCCAAATATCCAATGTCCAATTAAATGAAATGGAGTTTAACGTCCTACTTGTCTGCCCCGACTGATGATAATAATAATAATAATTTAATAATAATAACAATAATTTATTGTTTACAGTCAGTCACGTACACATATCACCGGACTTTACAGAATTAACACAAATATAGAACAAAAATAAAAAAACAAAAAGCTATAAAAAGATGCTAATGTGTCTATTGTGCGGATTCTAGGCGGCAGATTGTTCTAGAGACGTGGTGCGGCGATAGAGAAAGGGTGGATCCATAGAATTCACATCCGTCATACTCCGGTACATGATGACGGACAAACGGCCTATATTTCGAATTCCAAATTTCCAGGGTTCTTTTACGTGCAAGCTAACCTGTACTCGAGACAAGCTGTCGTATTTTCCTATTTATTATCTTAGCGCACGTGTAGGGGTCTTTCCTGTGGGAGGAGTCTACCCACGAGATTATTGAGAAGGCGCCCCTAACCCCAAGCCACATACTTTTACATGACGGATAAAAACCACAGCCGCCAGCCAGAGGTGATAGGCCAGCTAGAGGTCGAAGCGCGACACTATATACCACTACCTCCCCCCCCCCCCGTTGTTTTTCTTAGTGTTTAACGACTGCTTTCAACGAAGGTGATATCGCAGACAAATCTTATTTTCAACTTTCCTGTGGTTTGGATATCCAAGCCACATACGCTCACATCAGGGATCGAAACAAGGACCAGGCAAGCTGGAGGTCGAAGCACTAGGCCACTCCCCCCGCCCCGCCCCCACGCCACTGTTTATAATAGGCAACAATAGTGTTTATAACTGCATGGTAGTCAATTATCGTGACTCCCTCTATCATTGTCTGGGTTGAAAGTTTCTTCATTTCTCACACATCGGGTTACTATTGCTTTCTATTGAATTATCATGTGGCGGAAACAGTGTTTCCATTACAGTGATAATTGAATCACATGCCGTACAAAACACGCAAAAACTTGACCAGAAACTAACTTAGCGACGTGTAAAAAAAAATCACTAAATTTACAACTGGAATATTCATTCGGTTAAATCGAGTTAAATAGCCTTATAACTACATAAATTTCATATTCTAACGCCATTGGGTTTTTTCTATTTCTTCCTGTCTTCAGACCTGTCTTCGTCACGATATGGATTTTTTCTAATTGCAAACAACGAGATGTCAGGACTATTCAATAAATCCATATTATGTAACTTATCTTTTTCGTGGTGGTTCAGTGAGTAGGGCGGTGGCTCGCTAATCTGGAGTTCGCGTGTTCGATGCCGCTATTGGCAGAGAATGTTCACTCACTAACCAGGAGGTCGCGTGTTCCATCCCTGCATTGGTGTGCACGTAAAAGATCCGGTGCTGTGTTCTAATCGTGTAGGGGGCCACGGTGGCTCAGTGAGTAGGACGTTGGCTCGCTAACCCGGAGTTCCCGTGTTCGATCCTGGTGTTGGCAGCGAAAGTTCATTGGGATTTTCCGGTGTGGTTCCCCCTTGTCAGTAAATGTAGGATGGGACAAAAACCGAGGTCCCGTGTACACATTAGCGTGCACATTACAGAAACCTTGACAGTTCGAATTCGAAAATAGAGTAGGCCGTAGCGCAGCTGTCCGGGAAAAAAGGCGTATGACCGTCTTAATTAGCCTAGTCGGAGCAGAACAGTCGAACGTTAAACCCCATTTCATTTCATTTCTTTTCTTTTTCTTCGATCCCTACATTGACTTAGAAAGTTCATCCAGATTTTCCGGCGTGATTTCCCCTTGTCAGTGATGCAGGACGGAGGGCCTGACAAGGACAGTTGTCTAGTCGTTCGGATGGGACGGAAAAACTGAGGTCCCGTATACACATTGGCGTGCACGTAAAAGATCCCTTGGCAGTTGGAATTCGATATAAGAGTAGGCCGTAGCGCCGCTGCCCGGGCAAAATTTCCCTCATAGCACACTGTATGGCGTATGCCCGTCTTCATTAGCCCAGTTTAGGAGCAGAACAGTAGGACGTTTATAAGTTTATAACCGAGTCTGTTGCACACTTACTATTCTAGAACAATGTATTTTAGATATTAAAGCCTGGATGAAAACCAATCCATTAAAACTGAATGACGACAAGACCGAAGTTATAAGATTTTCAAACCGCTTTAGTAAACACAATTTAAAAACCAATGCAGTACGTGTTGGTAATAGTTCAATCACATGTGTTGATACTGTAAAGAACTTGGGGGTTATATTCGACTCAAAGATGTCAATGAAAACACAAATAACTGCAATGTGCAAATCCTGCTATTATCAACTGTATAATATTGGCAAAATTAGGTCCTTCATTGATTATGACACAACTAAATTACTTGTAAATGCCTTTATCACCTCAAAATTAGACTACTGTAATTCGTTGCTTTCTGGCCTTCCTTCTTCATATATCCAACCGTTACAGCTAATTCAAAATAAAGCTGCCCGAATAGTGTCCCGGACTAACAGGAGTATACATATAACACCAGTGCTCAAAGTCTTACATTGGCTTCCAATCCCATTCCGTATTGAGTTTAAAATATTATCATTGACATACTTTTGTTTAAACTGTGACAATGCTCCAAGATATCTTAAAGACCTAATTCAACCTTACAGGCCATCAAGATCTTTACGATCAAGTGATCAAAATCTTTTGGAAATTCCAAAAGTCACTACTCTATTTGGACAAAGAGCCTTCTCATTTTCTGCCCAGATGCTGTGGAACAAACTTTCCCAACAAACCAAATCCAGCTCAAACTATGCAGTATTTAAGAAAAACCTTAAAACTGAACTTTTTAATCATGCTTTTAAATAGTGTGTAAATAGTGTTTAAATTGCTTTATTCATGTAATGATTTTATTCGTATTTGCTAATTAACTTTTAAAACATATATATATTTTAAATTTTGAGTAATTTTAAGCCTTGTTTGTTTTTTTTTAAATAATTGTTTAAATCGTATATGTTTTTTAAAATAATTATAAATTTAATATATTTCAAATTTAAAATGTATTTTTAAAGTATTTATCTTGATGTAAAACCACTGAGCAGCTATACTAGCTGGAACGTGTGCGCTTTATAAATGTATTAAATTATATTATTATTATTATATTATTGGTTAGTCCAATAACAACAACGGGGATGGATGATCGAATGGTTAGCTCGTGCGTGCTGTATCAATGAGTCAACTGGGGTGGTTTCGATTTCCCGGTTGTACGTGAAAAGGAGTAGGGTCGCCTGTCCAATGAATGAAAATTCTGAAGATATAATTAGTTCGGAGACTAGAACTGGATAAGAATATATGTAGTAACATAGCCATTGATATGAGACAAAAAATTCATTTCATGTTACCTAATCACAATTGAGATAACTGGCCAGTTCAATTTTTGTCAAGGTCGCTGAGATGTAAATAAGGTTAGAGCACGTGATTGTTGGCGAGATTGTAAGTTGGGGTTCGGGTAAGCATTCGTTCTAGATCCAGGGATATGGTTGGGATTAGCGCTAGCCCTGTTTACATCTCGTGACCTATGACGCAAACTTGAGCTGGCCTTATCATTTATTACTAACTGCAATGTCCGCAGTGTTGGTGAAAATATTTTGTCGAATTAGCATAACCCGATGTTTTTTTTGGTTTTTTTCGCTTTGCTATGGGGTAAGACTCATTCGATTAAGTTTTATTTAGGAATAGGTGGAATGTTTTATTGCTTTTTGCTTAAGGCAAAATCCATTCTGTTAATTTTTTATTTTAATCAATTAAGCGGAAGTCGACATGTTTACTAATTATTCCATGTCAAAACGAATCAAGCTCGACCTCATGAACTGTTGCCCAACGTGGAACAGATGCTGGTTGCATTTTGCGTTGCTAATGCTAGGTTTTCACTGTCGTGCGATGCTTTACAACAGGCTTGTCCCTATTGAGTCCACGATCTGGTGTACGTGCAGATACGTTCGGATACGTTTCTATACGATCAACACGATTGCTACGACTGATCTCAATATATGATATATTATAGAGAAATATACAGTGACGGATCCAGGTGTGAGCCCCCACACCCACACCCACCCTACACCTTGGCGTGATGTATTTGGTAAATTTGGATGTTCTATTCGAGTCCACAAATGCGCCACAAATCACCATTGACACTCGGACATTTATAAAATTTTCTCGGAGCACCCACACAGTGCCCTCCGGCCCCCGCCGCCCCCACCCCTCTACCCAAATACCCCACGGCCACCACTGGAATTATATACTACTATAAACTATTGCGATATAATATAATATTTAAAGTTCTAAACTATTGCGATATAATAGACTATTTATAAACTATTGCGATATAATAGACTATTTATAAACAATTGCGATATAATAGACTATTTAGAGCTATATATTATATAATGGGAAATGGTGCGGCAATACAGAAACACTTTTGACTACAAAACGTTATTCATTCATTCATTCATTCATCCACTTATGGAACTTACCGAGGAATATGTTGGTTGTTCCACATCTTTATCATTTATTCTTGTGATCAGGAATTTCAAACCTTTCAAAAAATCCAGGGTATCTTCTTCATCTGTGTCCCACTCATCGTCTAAAATAGGCACTCTGTAAAATAATGGTAACTAAATTAGATGTTCGTGCAATAAGTAATTGAATTTATTTGTGTAAATTTGAAATCACGTGTCAGACTCTAGTTTGTTATTTCTTGGTTTTACCGTCAAAGATATTTTATTTTATCCACTCCAGAATAGAGAGTGGAATAGAGAGAGAAAGAGAGGGGGGGGGAGTGGGAAGGGAGAGAGAGAGAGAGGGGGTAATGGGCTTTAACGTGCACTCGACACAAACTAGGTCGTTTCGGGACTAACATATGTTCAATTTTATTTCAATAATTCACTTGCGCGTAGGGTTTTTTAGCAGGGGGGAAAAACCGGAGGACCCGGAGAAAACCCACGAGGTTGGACAGGCGACCCTACCTCTTGTCACGTACAACCGGGGAATCGAAACCACGCCAGTTGACTCAATGACAGACCTTATGATATAGAGCGCGCGCGCACGTGCTAACCATTCGGCCATCCAACCCCCCTAGAAGGTAAATACGGACGGATTGAAATGAAATGAAATGGGGTTAAACCTCCTACTGTTCTGCTCCTATACTGGGCTAATGAAGACGGGCATACGCCATACAGTGTGCTATGAGGGAATTTTGCCAAGACAGTGGCGCTACGCCCTACTCTTATATCAAATTCCAAGCGTCAGGGGTTATTTTACACGTACGCCAGTGTGTACGCGGGACCTCAGTTCTTCGTCCTATCCAAATGACTAGACAGCTGTCTCTTGCCAGGGGAACTACACCCGAAAATCCAGATGAACTCACTGGGCCAACATCTGGGAGCGAGGTCGAGGCCTCTTGGTTAGCGAGCCAGCGTCTTACTCACTGGGGTACTGGGGCTCCCTATCAGACTAAGGAAAAGAGAAAAACTGAAAAGACGTGTTTGCAAAATGATGAATTACCAAGTCAAATATGGTGAAGCATAGATACAGATCTAAATAATTTGCCAAGCTGTGCTTGCCGTCGACAGTGACCTTAATCAGTGTGCTTGATGCTTGGGACTGTGCGCGCACACCGCGTCACTTAAGAACCCCAGAAGAGCCACACTGGTCCGCAGTGAATATTCACTAGGCTGCGACAATCACTGATAAGGATGACAACGATGCGACTTAATGAGACACAAATATTAAAAAACGTTTTTTTTATGTATTAGAAAAAATAAATAAAGACGTTTGAAGTATTTGTAGGCAAAAATGATTTCCTATTTTAGTGTAAATGGGTATTAAAATGAGTAAAAGGCGCCATTCTGCTCGAATCAGTAACGTCATATGTAAACAATGCACGCGCCATTGAGCCAATGAGACTTTCGTAATATTCTGTAAAACAGATTGCAGAAGAGCCTGGAAGTATCGACTGTAGAGGAAATGACGAAATGAACAAAAAATAAACAATTGAGAACCAACTTACGATTTTGAGGATCTGTGACTGGAAATTTGTGGATAGTTTATTTGATTGTCTCTTTTAGCAGCTACACCACGGCATTTTGGAGCGAACACAAACTTCCTGTGAAAATAACAAAACAGCAATCGGATTAAAATACACATCTATATTTCGTTTCGTTTTTTATACTTTCAATGGCCCACACTACATTTGACAAGTTGTACTCGAAGGTCGTGTCAGGGGAAGCACGAGCGGCGTTTGACCCTATGACGCCAGGCATTGATTAAACTATCAGCGTTGACGTTTCTAGTAGTCTACCCACAGTTCCGTGCATGGCACACCAAGAAGTAACCGTAACAAACCGTTTCATTGGTTTATCCCTCACTTCAACCAAAAAGCCGGTAATATAACAACTCTTCCAGATCCTAGTGTAATAAAGTCAAGTAAAACGAAATTTTGAACTATAAAAACGAAACGAAATAGGATCTGTGTTTTAACCAGATTGATAAAACAGATACATATATATATATATATATATGAAATAATTCAATAACAATATCACATCATGCTCCAAAGTGGGCCACGGTGCTGTACGACGGAGGGTCTACCAAGGACGAAACGTCTTATCGTTCCGAAAGGACGGAAAACCGAGATTCGTGTACACGTTGGCGTGCACATGAAAAGAATTGGGGTTTAACGTCCTACTGTTCTGCTCCGAACTGGGTTAATGAAGACGGGCATACGCCATACAGTGTGCTATGAGGGGAAATTTTCCCCGGACAGCGGCACCACGGCCTACTCTTATATCGAATTCCAACTGTCAAGGGATCTTTTACGTGCAAGTCAATGTGTACACTTGAAATCGGGGTTTCATCCCATCCGAACGACTAGACAGCTGAGAGAGAGATGGGGTTTAACGTCCACTCGACACAAACTAGGTCATTTCGGGACTAACATATGGGTTAATTTTATTTCAATAATTCACTTGTCCGTAGGGGTATTTAGCAGTGGGAGGAAACCGGAGAACCCGGAGAAAAACCCACGAGGTTGGACAGGCGACCCTATCTCTTGTCACGTACAACCGGGGAATCGAAAGCACGCCAGTTGACTCAATGACAGACCTTATGATACAGCGCGCACATGCTAACCATTCGGCCATCCAACCTCCCGGGATTTGACAAGAGTGGGCGGAAACACATGCTCTTGTTTTTTGGCCAAGTTGGCGCAGAACGTGATAACCATACCATCCCGTAACCGGTAACTCCCGAATGGTACTAATGGTGAATCTTTGGCCAAGTTGGTGCAGAACGTGATAACCATCCCACCCCATAACCGGGAACTCCCGAATGGTACAAATGTTGAATCGTTGTCATGGCAATTTAATTTCTTTGAATAGCAACCACCCATTAACAAAATCTTGATGGAATAATGAAAGCTCAAATTGGAAACTTCTTTGATATGAAACAGATCTCGGAGACAGGGAAAGCGACCACCCGCAAAGTATATAATCAAATGTTACATATTACATTTCAAAACAAAAACAAAACTACATATTACAAAAGTGATAGCGTGCTGTAAATATGATTAATCAAATATTATTTAACAAATATCCTTGAGTTAGTTAAACCCCCCGGGATTACAAAACAAATTTACCTTCACATCGCAGTAAGCTATAACAAATTTACTTATAAATGTCAAGAAAATAAGTGATGCTCCCACAAGAAAACATTTATGGATATTTGTAATATTAAAGGTCGCATCCCACGTTGAAAACTGGCTCCATACATAAAAGTTAATTTAAGTGTGTCAATGAAACGTCAAAATTGGAGAAAATAATCCTTGTACGATTTGTGAGTCACAGAGAGAGAGAGACAGAGACAGAGAGACAGAGACAGAGACAGAGAGTTATCTCAATTGTGATTGGTAATTAACAAATAATGGCTTTTTCGTCTAATATCAATGCTATGTCTTATCCTTATCCAGTTCAGGTCTGCGAACGAATTATATCTTCAAAATTTTAATTCTGGTTCGTTTCACAGAGTCCCATTATTTTATATTTGTTCATCTGTGGAACTTACAGATTGGGTAACGAATGGCGATCTTAGCGACAGCTGACACCGCTGACGGGGTACGTAACGAATGGCGATCTTAGCGACAGCTAACACCACTGACGAGGCTACGTAACGCATTTAAAGAACCATTCTGCAATCGTATTTTGTGACAAAGTTTCATAATGCTATAAATATCTTTCACCACTAAATGTTATCTGGGCTTTCTCCTTATACAGGCGGAACGGTGCTTATACGTCATCGCAAATGTTATTTTCGTGAGCTTAGATATGATTTATTTCAATAAAATGGGCGAACGTAGGGTCTTGAGCGATGGTAGGACACCAGAGGAGGCGATGCGTTCGTTCCAGTAAAAATGGAGAAAACTAAACAAGGGACGAGGGTGTTTATCTCTAATATAAATAGAGAGTCACGGTGGCTAAGTGGGTAAGACGCTGGCTCGCTAGCCTGGAGGCCGTGTGTTCGATTCCTGGGAAATGAATTTTGATGACCTACTGCTCTGTTTCTACTGGGTTAATGAAGACAGCCATACGCCATACAGTGTACTATGAGGGAAATTTTACCTGGACAGGGGCACTAGAGCCTACTCTTATTTCCAATTCCAAAAGTCAAGGGTTCTTTTACGTGCACGCGAATGTGTAGATGGGAACCGAACGACTATAGGTTATCCGGTGCTAGCCCCGCCCTCCTCCTCCTCCTTCATCACAGATAATTAAATATATAATGCGGCAGTGAAAGGTGAACCACTTTAAAATTGAAAGATGTATCAACCTCTTGAAAATTGAAAGATCTACCAACCCCTTGAAAATTGAAATATGTATGAACCTCTTTAAAATTGAGAGATGTATCAACCACTTTAAACTTGAAAGATGTATGAACCTCTTTTAAATTGAAAGATGTGTGTACCTCTTTAAAATTGAGAGATGTATCAACCTCTTTTAAATTGGAAGATGTATCAACCTCTTTAAAATTAAAAGATGTATCAATCTCTTTAAAACTGAAAGATGTGTCAATCTCTTTAAAATTGAAAGATGTATCATCCTCTTTAAAATTGAAAGATATATCAATCTCTTTAAAATTGAAAGATGTATCATTCTCTTTAAAATTGAAAGATGTATCATGTATCAATCTCTTTGGAATTGAGAGATGTATCAATCTCTTTAAAATTGAAAGATGTATCAATCTCTTTAAAATTGAAAGATGTATCAATCTCTTTAAAATTGAAAGATTTATGAACCTCTTTAAAATTGGAAGATGTATGAACCTCTTTAAAATCGAATCTCTTTAATATTGAAAGATGTGTCATCCTCTTTAAAATTGAAATATGTATTAATCTCTTTAAAATTGAAAGATGTATGAACCTCTTTAACTATAGTCACCACAACGTTATACAGCTAAGCGGTCACGGTCGACTAAAGTCGACCACAACAAGAACCTTTTTTATAAGCCGCATTTGAGTATTTAGTTTCGTATTTAATTGATATGGCCACGCATGCGTGTCAGACAGGAACTTGTCTTGTCAAGGGCATTGAGAAAAACATGTCTTTGTTCAACATTTTTTTGACGAAAAAGGTAATTTAACGGTGTCGGGAACGTTAAAGACGCTCGAAGTGGTTGAAATACTTATGAATTATTCCGAATCGGTTTATATCGATGACACCGATTCTGAAGACGATATTATTGATGAAAAGGATTTAGAATGATTTGCAAATTATAGATCAACTTATCCCCAACTTTTTTATTGGTGTCAAGAGTCTATCACTTATAATTATTCGGCAATAGTCGATTGAAATAGGCATACAAAATATTTCACGTCAGCCTTTATTTAGCCCGACCACTTGACGTCATAACGTCAAAATGACGTCGACCGGTTAAGGGTCGAAAGATGTATCAATCTCTTTAAAATTGAGAGATGTATCAACCTCTTTAAAATTGAAAGATCTATGAACCTTTTTTTAAATTGAGAGATGAATCAACCGCTTTAAAATTGAAAGATGTGTCAATCTCTTTAAAATTGAAAGATGTAATTGAAAGATGCACCAACCTCTTTAAAATTGAAAGATGTAATTGAAAGACATATCAACCTCTTTGAAATTGAAAGATGAATCAACCTCTTTAAAATTGAAAGACGTAAGACGGGTAAGACGTATATATATATATCAAAGATTTCACATTTCCTTAATTAAAACATAAAGTTCAAACAATAACAGTCGGTGCGTGGGTTGCGATACTCATCATCTGAATAATGTCTGATTATACATCGATATATAGAATTTCTTGTTATAATATTAAATATTGGAATAAAATAAACACAGCATCATTACAATATCCCAAGTATTAATACTAACACTTGACTATGATGCCAATTTGTCGAGATCACTTTTATGTGAATTAAGATACAGTTTATGAATTGTAAAATTAGCTAACGGTTATTGGACGCGGAAATTGTCGTTCGATTGCCGGGGGTGTCCGCCGATATACGTTGATATCCGAGAAAGGTCACAAAAGGGTTGCTTCGCACTTGAAATAAAATGAGATGGGCAAAGATGTGATAATGATAAAATCCATGAATGAGTTAATGAACTGTGATGACGATACACGAAACTGCATGAATGAGTTAATGACATGTAATAACGATACACGAAACGCCATGAACATAGGCGTACGAGCCAGGGGGGGGGGGGGGGCGGCAGCTGTTGCCCCTAACTTTCAAGCAAACTAACTTTTCGGGCAGACGGGTAAAGTGAAAGCAAAAAATATTATTTCATCCGAAATCTAATAAAACACTATTTTACTTTTCTTTTAATTGAATACCACGAATTTATTCTGAATTTACTATGGATTTAAGCATTTTGTCTGGAGCCACTCTACTTTGTGCGACATTTTTCGGGCATCGATTATTATTTGTCAATGTAGCTGCAACAGTCTGATTGGATGTTTGGATTTCAGGTCGGCATAGAGTGGGATGGCGGTTGCAACCCGATTGGAAATTTTGAAGTTGCTTAATTCACGGGCTAAAATAGCAGAAAAATACATTTGCGGCGGTTTAATTTTCAAACTTTTCTAGGGGAGCGCGAGTCCCCCATACCCTCGCCCTCCAGGCTAGCGCAGGACTATGTATGTTTGCATAATGTATGTTTAAGGATTATGGAAAATAAATTGTTGAAACTTACGTGCAGTCTATTTTCCTGGATTCTGTTAGAACAACTAAAACTAATATAAAAACAGTTACTATAGAAACCACCTTATCTGACGTCGTCCCAAACATCGCTCCTGGAAATATAACAAAAAACAGTATTAAATTTAATAAAATCCTTTATTGGATTGAAAACCGATTAAAGTAGCGTGAACAATATTGTATGTCCATAAGTGTCGTCTAATGTAAGTTTGATGAGTATTATGAATACACAGGGGCATGACGTACCTTGATATAAATTTGGTAGAGTAAGTTTAGACTCTGTAGCAATAATTTAACCGGCTATCGCTGCGTGCTTCCTCGCATTATCGAATAGACAAGGACTACTAAACTAAACTTTTACATTTGTATGGGGCTTTTAACAACTAAAATACTTTCTAATTGCCAATATTTAAAGGGGCTAAATCGCTAATATTTAGGACCTAGAAATTAACACAAATGGATCGCAACGCATAGAATAATGTAATATGAATGTATATAAACTGATTTACATTCAATCGTTTCCGTTTTTAAGCTTATTTCAAGTCAGTTATTTTCGGAAAGTCTCAATCGAATGACAATTTCTAGCGTCGGGGTATTCCAGTCTACATAGTATTTATTGCGCTTGCACTCCGAATAAGAATAATTATGGCATAATCTTTTGACATGACTTGTGGAATATGTATAGTCTCGTTCTTCGAGAATGGGCCTGAAACGCATTATGGTACACGATTCGTGTACCAATGATAAAATGTTTATTTTGTCTTAAATATTGTGTATCAAAAGTCCACCTTTCCCCGGTAAGATCACAACACCAATGTTGATTTAAATTGATAAATAATTGGTGTTTTCAATGTGGAAGATTCTGGATGATATTGAGTTAGAGACTTAGCTACTTTAAGTATGTTAGATATCAACTACCCACATTTAGGTACGTTTAACGTCAACTGCCCACAATGTCTGAAAGTCACTATCCGCCTTTTAGACTTGATTGTGGTTTCATCAGTTGCCAACATGATATTATATTAATTGATCTAAGTAGCTGTAAAAAGCGTTTGATACGATAGATTCTGTTGATTGATCGTTTAATAAACATAAATAAATAAAGGAACATCCTAGATTAAGATAGGGAGACTGGCTGACTACCTGTAGAGGGTCAACAGATATTAGGTGAACCTAGCATATATTCAGATACTTATATAGAATCAAGGTGTGTCAAATACGGTAAAACAATTAAACACATGTCAATTGTCCATTAAACGTCCCACAAGAAAACATTTATGGATATTTTTTTTTTGTAATGTTAAATGTCGCATCCCACGTTGAAAACTGGCACCGTACATACCAGTTAATTTAAGTGTGTCAATGAAACGTCAAAATTGGAGAAAATAATCTTTGTATGATTTGAGAGTCACAGTGAGAGAGAGAGAGAGAGAGAGAGAGAGAGAGAGAGAGAGAGAGAGAGAGGGGTGTTAACGTTCATCCGACACACACTAGGTCATTTCGAGACTAACATACGGTTCAATTTTATTTCAATAATTCGCTTGCATGTAGGGGTCTTTAGCTGTTGGAGGAAGCCGGAGGACCCGGAGAAAACCCACGAAGTTAGACAGGCGACCCTAATCCTTGTCACGAACAACTGGGGAATCGAAACCACGCCACTTGACTCAATGACAGACCTTATTACTCCGTATTATAGAGATTGAATTATCTTGTCTTTGAAACACCTGGTCTTTGACACACCTGTATTTGTGTATTTCACCCAGGAGATGATGGGTCAGTCTATCTTTCGACCATGGGGGGGGGGGGGGGTCAATCTATCTTTCTACCAGGGGATGGGTCCATCTTACTCAATCTGGGCATATTTATTGATCTTATATATATTTTTTTTAATTGAACGACAAAAATAGTTTTCATTAAAACTGGGCGTCGCCATAACACGCCTATAATTAGTATCCATTAAAACTGGGCGTCGCCATAACACGCCTATAATTAGTATTTGCATCCTGAATGTATAGTCTGAATGTATAGATTCCATAATATCAAAAGGATGGCAACAGATAAGAAAGAGTTTATAATATTACACATTTCAACCACATGACTCATAATGGGGTTACTCGATTGAACGTTCCAGAATTAAATTCTCTCAATTCCTAAAATAGTGTCAATAGAGTGAAAAGGAGAATTTCGGAGCACAACGCATGTGCCGACTGCATAAAAAATATCTCAACCAATAATAACAGCTGAAACATATTTGTTACTTAAAATACATCACGATTCTACTCACACCACCTCAGCTGTTGGGACTGGCAGAACTGTGACAGGACTGAATTCCGTATCACTTGATTGCGATTCTGTCAATTCGGGATGTTCCGGACTGACAATCGAGTATCCCCTAAACTTCCAACGTGTTTCACTTAAAGGAGATAAGTCGCTAATATTTGGGACCTAGAAATTGACACAAATGGGTCGCAACGCGCGCATACAATAATGTAATATGAATGTATATAAATTGATTTACATTCAATCGTTTCTACTGTTTTTACTGTAATGTCTAATCAGTTAGGTTCGGCGAAATATGCTAGTATTCTCAATCGAATTTCAATCTCTGGCGTCTGGTTATTCCAGTCTACACCGATAGTATTTATTGGGCATGCTCTCCAGATAAGAATATAGCGTCACCATTTGACATGTCTTGTGGAATATGTCTAGCCCTGTTCTTTGAGTCCCTTGTTCCAAATGGCGCTGAAACGCATTGTGGTACACGATTCGTGTACCAATTGTAAAATGTTTATTTTGTCTTGAATGTTGGATATCAGAAGCCCATCTTTTTCCTGCAAGATCACAAGACCAATGTTGATTTGAATTGACAAATAATTCGTGTTTTCAATATCGAAGATTTTTGATGATAATGAGTTAGAGACTTAGCTACTTTAAGCCTAACTCGCAGCCCACCGTGCGTGTTTTGACACCCACGGGTCGTAGATTTTGGCAGCTCGCAGACCAGTCGCTAGAAATCGGGTGAATATTTTGTATGTGCAGGACCAAAGGTCAATACACTCTAAGAGCAGGGGCCTATTTCACGAAATTTTAACTAAGATAAAATCCAAATTTTAGTAATTTGATTGTATAATATTAGACTGATTGTAGTGCTTAGCCAATCAAAATTGAAGTATCTACTAAAATTTGGATTTTATCTTTAGTTAAAATTTCGTGAAACAGGGCCCAGGATATGACCTTCTACGGTGTCGCACACACGGAAGTGACGTGTAATTCTCTCACACGGATTTACTCAAATTTCCCCGTAGACTACCAGCAGCAGCACGCACGGTGGGTTGTCAGTTAGGCTTTAGTTTCTCAAGGCAATGAAAGATTACGTTAGCACATTAATGACGTAGTTTGGGCTTAAATTTGTTCTTTGAGATTTGTCCTTTCAATCTTAATAATAATATGTTATTCGACGACATTTTATAAATGGTGGTAAATTTTCCCTTGGCACAATCACCTAAGTACTCACTAAGGGGACGTTACCGTTGTTCTTTTTACCGGATATGCTGCTTGTGGAGTGTCATCCCACTCCTCAATGTGCACTGTATACCGACACACAGTTCATTGCCGCCACCACAATTAAAGATACATTATGGGAGATTCGATAACAAGTTGGCAGTTCTCACTATAATGGTTAAAAACTAGATAATGTAAAGGCAATTTGCTGAAAATTTCATTCAAATTTCCGCCTAGCCTCGATCATCATCACTAAATTCAGTACGATAAACAGCATAATCTCAATTATCCATTTAATCGTTAAATCGTGAAGGAAAGTTATGCAGTAAATTAGGTCATAATACACTAAAGATCGCAGGCTAGCGATGCCATCTAGAGTTGATTATGGTCTGGATAGTTTAATTAATGTCTAATTAATAATTTAGATAACATTTCAGGCCTAAAGAAAGACCTGCAATAGGCAGATTTAGCTCTTGCATAATGTATCTTTTAAATTCCGAAAAAATCTAATGTTGTTGAATCTGGAAACATTCTGATTAAAATACCGATCTATGTAACGTTTCCTTTTCTTGATACTTTGTATTCTAATGAGATTGATCCGAAGCTTCGCCGTCCAAAATGTGTTATAGTGTTTCCTTGTGTCTATTGTAGGTCGCTCAACTTCCATGGATGTCTGTCCATTGGCGAGTCGGAGCGCTCTGTCAAACTCAGATATTACAAGTCATGAGTACCAAGGGGTGTTTCAGATTGGATTTTAATAAAGTCTGCTTCTTTGATTGGCATTGGTATTTTATCCCAGAAGACAGGCGGCCTACATCTTACATGGCTAGCTTTGTGAAAGTAGTACAACAACCTTTCTAACCTCTTGCAGTTTCCTTCCCGTTTCTAACGACACGTATGTTAATAGAACATTGCATATGTTAGGGGGAGAGAGGGAAATGAGGTTTAACGGCCACTCGACACAAACTAGGTCGTTTCGGGACTAACATATTGTTCAATTTTACTTCCCCGAGGTTGGACAGGCGACCCTACTCCTTGTCACATACAACCGGGGAAGCGAAAACAAGCCAATTGACTCAATAACAGACCTTATGATACAACGAGAACGCGCTAACCATTCGACCATTCACCAACCACCCCATACGTTAGGTTAGTCCCAAAATGGCCGTGTTAGTGCCGAGAGGACAACAGATACTACATTGACAAGACTCTAACATGTCTCATATTCTTGGGAGCCACAGTGACTCAGTGAATAGGACGTTGACTCGCAAACCTGGAGTTCATCAGGATCATCCGGAGTGGTCTCTCCCCGTCTGTCAGCGGTGTAGGACGGAGGGATTGGCAAGGGACAACCCATAGTTGTTCGGATGGGCAAATAACCGAAGACCCATGTACAAAATGGCATGCAGGTAAAAGAACCATAACAATTTGGATTCGATATATGAGTAGGCCATACCGCCACTGTCTGGGCAAAATTTCGCCCATAGCACACACTCTGTAAGGCATGTGACCGTTTTCATTAGCCCAGTCGGAGCAGGACAGTAGGACGTTAAACCCCATTTCATTTCAGTTTCTCATATACTTCTAAATTAAC